TGAAGTCGTAGATCTCGCGCATGGCCACGCCCCCCACGTTCACAAAGAAGACCAGCCGCAGGAGGACCAGGTAGTGCTCGGGTGGCATCCACAGCACGAACTTCAGGTAGAAGGTGTTCAGCTCTGCCAGCAAGAACTGGGGGGAGCCGGGGGTGAGCCCCGGCGAGGGCCACGCCCGCCCCCCCGCGCCGGCCGCTTACCACCAGGATGATGCCGCACACGGCCAGCCAGCGGCGGAGGCTGGAGGCCGGCTTCCACTCGAAGCGCACCCAGCTGTACGGCGTGAACTGGAAGGCCATCCGCTTCATCTTGCCCCTGGGGACGGAGCCGGCCTGAGGACGGCCGCGGGCCCCACCCGCACCCGGCCCTCGCCCTGGGAAACTTTTCCGGCCCAGACACGGGCGCCCTGCGGCCCGGCTGAGCCACGCACGAGGGACACAGGCGGAGCCGGGCCATGCAGACCGGAGGGCGACCGCTCCCCGGCACCCGGGGCTCTCCCTGGACCCCGCTTCTTCTTAAAAAGTCCCCCAGCAGAAAGAGCGGCCCAGCCACCTCCTAGTGAAGTCACCGTGGGAGGGGGGAGCCGGGCGACGCAGCATGTCCTGACCCCAGCCGCCGCGGGGACAGCCGGTCACTGGGAGCAGAGGCTCCGAGGGCAAAGCCTGCGGTCGCCCTCCCGAGCAAGGTCAGGCGAGCCCCCGCCCTCGGCCCCATGCCCGGCTCCCGGCCGTACTTGTAAGTCGGAATGTTCCAGAGGCCCTGCCACTGGTACGTCTTCAGCGACAGCCATTCCAGGGTCTTCATGCCGCAGTAGATGCCCAGCCCGTTGCAGACCAGCACGTCCATGATCCACTAGGGGCGGGAACCAGCAGAGGTGGGGAGGGTGCAGCCGCCCGCGTGTCGCCCGGCCCAGGGCCCAGCCCGGCCCGGCCCAGCAGCCTCGCAGCCCCGCCAGCCCCGCCACGGGCCCCTGGGGCCCAGCACCTACGTGGTCCCACCAGCACTCGCTGAAGTTGGGCAGCTGGTGCTCCAGGCTGTACTCCAGGAACTCGAACATCACGCTCACAATCAGGCACATCCACCAGTCGCGGATCATCAGGGTCTGCGGGCCGCACCCGCCACGCCCTCAGGCCCCAGAGCCCTGCCCAGGGAGGGCAGCCTGGCCCTCGAGCGCGGCGAGACCCAGACCCGGGTGGGCGTGGAGAGGGCAGCTCCCCGCCGCAGCCTCGGGGCTGAGTTTCCCAGCGGCACGGGCGGCCTGGGTGTCGCCACCAGCCCAGGAGGCCACTCCCAGGGCTGCCTGGGGCCCCGCCCCTGCAGCCGGCCAGGCCCAGGCCAGAGCAGGATGCCTGCCTCGCCACCCCCTCCGCTTCCCCAATGGGACATGCTCAGCCATGACAGAGCAGGGGCCTGGAGGGTTCATGGGCCCTCGGGGCGGCACACCAGGGGTCAACCCTGTGGCCAGATGCAGCCCAGAGCACAGGGTGGGCCCGAGAACCCGGGCAAGTCGGGCCCAACAAGGAGTTCCTGTACCTTCAGGTACCAGCCGAGGAAGTGCGCAGGAACGAAGCCGTCTAGCTTGTCCTGTGGGCAACAGGGCACAACCCTTGGGCACAGCCTTCCCCCTCACTCGGGCATCCCCCTCTCCCCACCACACCACGGGCAGCACCATGGGACCCACGCCAGGCTGACCCTCTGAGCTGCACCTGCCAGACCCAGGTGTCCAGGCCAGGCATGCCGAGGTGCTGTCGTGGCCCACGCAGACGACACCCAGTGACAGCCGAGAGCAGTGTCCCCCCAGAGAGCCCATCCAAAGGAACAGGCCTTAAACGCATCTCTGGACGGGGAGGAGACCCTTGTCAGGGCCAGGGAACCCTGGAGGGCGGGAGGGCCGATGGCGCCCAGCCCCTGGTCACCGCAGGTAGCACCCAGGAGCCTGTGAAGCCCTCCCCAACACTGACCTGGCCCCGAGGTGGCCCAGAGCCCTAAGGGAGACCCGCCCGGGCTCCCAGTCCCTTACCCAGACGTTATGGAAGGGGTCAGTCTTGTTGTCCGCGTCATAGATGAGGCAGTTTCCCCCATAGTCCCTCTCGGGCAGCGGGACCCCCAGCTTGGGGTCAACGTATTTCAGGAACTGCCGGCCGTCCTGGACGGTCTGCAAGGTCAGCGCCGCGTTAGTGGGGCCGACCCTGGAAGTGCGACCGGGCGAGGGCTGGGGCGCATGCGTCGCATCTCCATCAGCCTGCTGAGAGGGGCATTCCTCTCGGCAGCCGCCCACCCAGTCAGGGCTAGAGACGGGGCCGAGTCCCCGGGACGCGGCGAGGGCAGGCGACAACCCCAGGTGTGCACTCCATGCCTCCCTGCGCCTGCAGGCACCCCAGGAAACGCGGGCACAGGAGTCGCTTCTCAAGAGACCACGGGTCAGACAGGCCACGGGACGGGGGTGGCCCTGTGCTCCTGCCTGCGCCACCTGGCCCTGCCCTCACAGGCCCACTCGGGAGTCACGCTGGTGGGCCATCACTTTTACTCCTCCGACATCAGATGGACCCCAGCCTTCCCAGACCGCAGACGTCAGCGGCACCCAGACACTCCTCTCAGCCTTGGTGCCAGCCAACCTCTGGGGCTGCACCTCCCTTTAGGACCCTCTGGCCACCAGTCAAGGGACAAAGTGGAGGAGGCTTGGAGGCCTGGAGACAAATGACAAGCAGAGGTCCAGGAAAGCAGACAGCAGAAACGAGGACATGCAGGACACCGGCCGCACTGAGGAGGGTGACAAAGTGGGAGGAAGTTGGAGGCATCACCAGCTCAGCCCGGGGCTGGAGTGGCCCAGGGAGGTCTGGCATGTCACAGGCAGGCAGTGCTCACAGGACAGAGGCCGACAGCGCTGGACACAGGCCGAGGACACCTGTGGGCCAACTGCAGCCGCGGCCCAGCCAGCCACGAGCTCAGGATCACGAACACGGCCCCCGGCCCCACAGCCTTCCCCTGCTGACATGGTTCCCTTGAAGAGGACGGGGCGCAGGGAGGGAGGAAGCCGAGGCCCCAGTGTGCACGTGGGAGACACAGAAACATAGGGAAGGAGAGGTGAGAGGAACAACTGGCACTTGCCATGTTGGCAGATGTGTGCAGATGCACACTCAACACCCGTGTGTCCCTGCTCTGAGGTGAGGGCCCAAAGCCGCGACGCCCGGGAGCAAGAGGCACACCCAGAGCCCAGGCCTCAGTCCTCAACGTTCTCCAGGAAGGGACCGGCTCCTTGGAGAAGCAGCTGACTGCAGGGCTGGGAGGGACGCTTCCAGAAGAGCCTGGGGCTCCCTGCAGGGCCTGGAGGTCAGGATGTGCTCAGAAAAACAAGCAAAAATTCAAGGACTCACAAACCGCAGTGGCAAAGAGATAACAGGAACCAAATGCAGGCTCAGAATGGCCAAAGCCAAGTGGGCAATAAAATCAAAAGCCAAAGTATAAAATGGATATCCCCAAGTCCCACTGACATCAATAGATGGTTGAAAAACTGATGGTGGAGAAGAGACAAACCTCCCCTGCAGGAGACTTCCACATAATATATGAATTCTCCATCCTTGAGGGGGAGCGTAACTTCCTCTCATGTGACGTCTTTCCAGAGCACATAGGGAAGGTGCAGTGGAGACACGAGGCACACACCTCGCCCAGGTGAGCACGGCCCTACTCCCTGATGGGTTAAGGGGATCACGAGAAAGACACAAAGGCCTCATTAGCCCTGAGCCAAAGCCAGAAAAAGACACTCCAGGAACATCCCAGAACAACATCTCTCATGACCATGGACGAAAAACCCCTGCACAAAATGCCAGGACACCAGACGGCTGTGCTGTATCAACAAAGGGTTGTCGCCATGACCAAGCAGGATTGACCCAGGAATGCAAGGCTGGTTCAAAATAAGAAAAATCAATAAATGTCACACATCATGTTAATAAAGGGAAGAAATTCACATTGTCATCTCATTGGACACGGAAAACACATTTGGCGAAATCCAACCACCTTTCATAATTACACTCGCCCAACTAGGAAAACAACAGCACTTCCTCCACCTGACATGGGGCGTTTGTGGACAACCCACAGCCAACAGCATCCCTGACGGGAACAAGGGACGGCCTCCCCCGAGCTCAGGAGTGAGCCAAGAATGGCATCCCCTGGCTCTCCTCAACTCGGCACCGGGGCCTCAGCCAGCACAGCCAGGCAAGAAGAGGAAACAAAAGGCCTTTGGATGGCAAGGAAGCAGTGCAACCTTCTCCATGTGCAGATGACACGGTCTTGAAGATGGAGAGCCCTAAAAATTCCACCAAAACCCCCACAACTTCAGAGCTAAGTGGTTCAACAAGGCTGCAGGACAATAGATCAACATACAAAAATAAGCTGTATTTCTAGGCACTACTAATGAGTAATGTAAAAACAAAGCTAGGAAAACAATTCACTTACAGTAGCATCAAAATGAATAAAATACTTGGAAATAAATTTAACAAGGAAGTATAAAAACTCTGAAAACTGGCTGGGCATGGTGACTCATACCTGCAATCACAGCACTTTGGGAGACAGATGTGAGAGGACTGCCTGAGCCCAGGTGTTCAAGACCAGCCTAGACAACTTGGTAAGACCTTGTCTCTACAATAAAAATTTAAAAATTAGCCAGGCGTGGTGGCACACACCTGTGGTTCCATCTACTTGGAAGGCTGAGGCGGAAGGATCACCTGAGCCCGAAGGATTGCCTGAGCCCAGCAAGTCTAGGCTGCGGTAGCCATAAGCATATCATTGCACTCCAGCCTGGTTAACACAGTGAGATTACAACTAAAAACAAAAACAGCCAGGCTCGGTGGCTCAGCCTGTAATCCCGCGCTTTGGGAGGCTGAGGTGAGTGGATTGCCTGAGCCCGCGGGTTCGAGACCCTCCTGGGCAGGCGAGACCTCATCTCTACAATAAATCAAAAAATTAGCCGGGCGTGGTAGTGCGCGCCTGTAATTCCGATTACTTGGAAGGCTGAGGCTGAAGGATCGCTGGAGCCCAGCAGGTCGAGGCTGTGGTGGCCGGAAGCGGCCACTGCACTCCAGTCTGGGCGACAGTGAGACTCCAACTCAAAAACAAAAAACAAAAACAAAAACACCCTTCAGAAAACTACAAAACACGCTGAAATAAAAGAAGACGCTGGGCGTGGTGGCTCACACCTGCAATCCCAGCACTCTGGTAAGCGGAAGCAAGAGGATTGACTGAGCCCAGGGGTTCAAGACCAACCTGGGCAATATAGTGAGATCGTGTCTCTACAATAAACAAAAAAATTAGCCAGGAGGGCTAGAGCATGCCTGTAGTTCCAGTGACTTGGAAGGCTGAAACAGAAGGATCGTCTGAGCCTAGCAGGTCAAGGCTACAGAGGCTGTAAGTATGCCACTGGACTTCAGCCTGGGCAACAAAGACTCTGACTCAGGGGAAAAAAAAGAAAAGGAAAGTAATTAAAGAAGACACCTTATTTTCTGTTGTTGTTGTTTTTTTGAGTTGGAGTCTCACTCTGTCGCCCAGACTGGAGTGCAGTGGCTGCTCCCGGCCACCACAGA